TTCGATCATGTCGGAGTTCTTCATCAACTTCGGATGGTTCGGGGTCGTGCTGTGCCCGCTGGGGATCGGCTGGTGCATCCGTTGGTTCGAGCAGCTGATCATCGGCCACCCGCACCGGAAGAGCCAGGTGGCGTGGATCGCGTTCGGTGCGATCGTGTCGATCAACATGCTGCGCGTGATGAAGAACGGGTTCGGCACGATCATCTTCGCGTTCTACTTCGCGGTGCCGGTGTTCATCGTGTACTGGCCGAACATCGGCCTGCTGTTCTCTCCGCCGCCGGAGGGCGCGGCGATCGACGACGGCGAATGGGGCGAGGACGGGTACGAGTACGACGCGGGGGACGCGTACGCCTAGGTCTCGTCGACGTCGGTCCGCTTCATCAACTTCGAGAGTTTTCTGGGCATCCGGAAGGTGAAGTCCGCGCGCTTCGGGGTGACGATCTCGCGGAGCGGGAGGCCGGTGATTCTGGAGTAGACGATCGTCATGCCGACGGCTCCGCCGGTGTAGGTGATGGTGCTGGCGAGCGCGGCGCCGTTGATGCCGCCCCAGTAGTCGTCCCTGGGGATGAGGACGAGGTTGAGCGCGATGTTGGCGAGGACGACGGGCCCCATGACGAGGTTGATGGGCCACGGTCTGCCGCGCCCGACGAGGTCGGACTCGAAGATGCGCGCGGCGTAGAAGGCGAGGACACCGGGGACGATGATGCGTGTGCAGTGGTGGGCGTTGACGGCGTCGGCGCCGTAGACGAGGGGGAGGGCCCAGGGGGCGAGGACGAAGAGGGCGGCGGCGGCGGGCGTGGCGATGGCGAATCCGACGCGGACGATGCGTGCGGTCTGTCGCGCGGTGGCGAGGGGGTTGGTGGTGGTGGCGCTGCGGCTGGTGACGATGTAGCCGAGGGCGATGGGGATCTGCCAGAGGAGGTTGGCGAGGGAGACGCCGATGGAGTAATTGCCGATGTCCGCGGCCGGGACAGTGAACATGGCCCAGCCGAGGATGAGCTTGTCGAGGTTGTAGTTCATGCGCATGAAGAGGCCGCCGAGCGCGAAGTAGAAGCCCTTCTTGAGCATGGACCAGAGGGCGCGGGGGTCCCAGGCGAGCGTGAACTTGGCGTAGCGGGTGATGAGTTTGAAGCAGTAGTACGTGACGATGGTGTAGGAGAGCGGCGGGACGATGATGCGGAGCCAGGCGTCTTCGGGGTCGCCGAATCCGAGGACGACGCCGAAGAGGACGACGAGCCCGAGCGTGACGGGGTCTCGGAGCCAGTAGATCCTGGCGATGAATCCGATGTCCTCGAAGCCGAGGGCGAATCCCCGAGCGTAGCTCATGAACAGGTGCATGGGGATGGCGGTGGCGGCGAGGGCGCCCCACCACCAGGGGACCTTGTCCTGGACGCCTGGGATGAGGAAGTAGGCGGCGGCGGCGAGTGCGAAGACGAAGCTCGTGGTGAGCCAGAGCGTCATGGCGAGGCCGACGATGCGCGGGATGGGCATCTCGTCGCGGCCGATCATGGAGGGCAGGAGTTTCTTCATGCCCAGGTCGCCCATGGTTTTGGCGACGTCGGTGACGGCCTCGGCGATGGCGATCTGCCCGCGTGCCGCGGCGCCCCAGACTCGGAACGTGACGACGCCGGTGAGGATGATGAAGGTGATGTGCGCGGCGTTTCCGGAGAGGACGGTGAGACCGTCGCGGAGGAACGAGCGCCGCTTGCGCGGCGGTCGCGCGGGCGGTTCGGGGCTCGCCTGGTTTGGCGAACCGTTCTCGCTCATACCCAGCGTTCCTCGGGGAGCGCGTCGACCTGGAAGAGCTGGTAGCCGACGCCCTCGCCGATCTCGACGGAGGTGACGAACCTGCGGTTGGCGATGTCGTAGCGGGCGAGGTGGCTCTTGGGCATGGTGTGCTTGTGCTTGATCCAGTAGCCGAACTCTTTCCACTTGGATCGGCGGAGGGCGCTGAAGGTGACGAAGTACTCGCCGGGGGCTCCGGGGACCTCGCAGACGCCGCGGCACCAGCCGAGCTGGTTGAGGTCCTCGTGCATGTCGGTGAGGCTGACGGCCTCGCGCTTGTGGGGCGGGTTCACGTCGAAGAAGACGAGGTGGCCGTTGGTGGTGGTGAAGACGATTTTGTCGCCCATGCGGACGCCGTCGTGGGGCATGCCGACGCCCATCTCGAGTCGCTTGGAGGGGTCGCTGGCGCAGGCGGCGTCGGAGGTGGTGAGCTGGCCGGTCCAGAGTTCGCCGTCGAGCTCGAAGACGTGGTTGCCGTGGCGGAGGTGGGGCTTGGTGTCGGGGATCATGCGGTAATCGACGCTCGGGTCGATGGTGCGCGCGCCGTCGACGCCTTTGAGGAGGTCGTGTCGTTCGAGGAGCTCGCCGTCGAGGGAGACGACGTCGACGGTCTCGAGGCCGGTGTTGGAGACGGCGAGGTGGCCCTTCCAGGGGAAGCAGTGGTGGAGGTCGTTGAAGCCTTTTTCGGTGATTCGGCGCGCGGGCTTGTCGGGGGGCCACTCCTCGTAGACGAGGATCTCGTTGTGGGAGCAGACGTAGTACTTGCCGTCGATGAAACAGGAGCCGGTGAACTGGATCTTCTGGCCTTCGGTGACGAGCTCGTCGGGCGGGTGGTACTCGGCGCGGTGGAGGATCTCCCCGGTGAGGCCGTCGAGGATGAGGAGGACGGCGAGCACGCCCTGGTGGCCGTCTTCGCCCTGGATGGCGCCGCTGAGGAGGAGCTGCATGGGGTGGTGGTGCCCTTTGTGGGTTCTCAGGTGAGCGAGTCGTAGACCTTACGATACTCGTTGGCGCTGCGTTCGATGCCGAAGCGGTCGCGCGCGGCGTCGACGGCGTCCTGGGACGCGGTGTCGCGCGTGCCGAGGCGTTCGGAGAGGCGGCTCGCGAGTTCGTCGATGTCGCCGACGGGGAAGAACGTCGAGACGGTGTTGCCGAGTTCGCGGAGGGGGGCGATCTCGGAGAAGACGGACGGGATTCCGGTGGCGGTGCACTCGATGCCGGCGAGGGGGAGGCCCTCGTAGCGCGAGGGCATGACGTAGACGTCGACGCCGCCCATCCACTCGGGGATGTTGGGGACGACGCCGTGGAAGACGATGGTGTTGTCGCCTTGCGCGATCTGCTCGAGTTCGGGCCGGAGGTTGCCGTCTCCGAGGAGGTGGAGGACGCCGCCTTTTTCTCCGAGCCCGCCCTGCTTCCAGGCTTTGATGAGGTCGTCCTGTGCTTTCTGCGCTTCGGGGAGTGTGGGGGCGCTCATGCGTCCGGCGGCCATGTAGTGCGTTTTCGATGGGTCGAGGTTGAGCGCGGCGAGGCGTTCGTCGCGGTGGGTGGGGTCGTGGCGGGGCCAGTCGAAGTTGAGGCCGTAAGGGACGCAGGTCATGGGGCCCTTGGTCATGCCCTGGTAGGCGGCGTGCGCGGCTTCGCCGCAGGTGATGGAGCACCGGATGCCGGAGCGGTTGAAGGCCCAGGTCTGGAGGCCGGGCTTGGGGTGGGCGGTGTTGTGGATGGTGCGCAGGGCGCGGTAGTTCTTCTTGTGGAGGAACTTCGCGGCGTAGAACGCGACTTCGACGTAGTCGAGGTGGACGTGGACGATGTCGATGTCCGGCGCGCGGAGCTTGCCGGCGAGCCACTTGATAGTGCCGAGGCGCATGCGGGGGAGCGGCCCGCGTTCGATGGGGATGCCGGCGTCTTCGAGTCGCTTCGTCCACTTGTCGCCGACGGAATCGGTGCGCGGGAGGAGGCAGAGGAGCTCGACGGGGACGCCCTGGCGTTTGAGCTCGACGAGGAGGTCCACGACGAAGCGCTCGGCGCCGCCGGCGACGAGGGCTCCGATGATGTGGATGTTGCGGGTTCTGCTGGACATATCGTGTCTTTCCCACCGTGTGCGCGTGGGGCGGGATGATACATGATCGGCCGGACCGGGCGGGTGCTGTCGTGAGAAGGGTGGAATCGGGCGGCTGCGCCGGTGATCTGTCGGTGACGAGGTCTTTGCGTCGGTTGGTCGCCGGAGCGTACAGTGGTCCGATAACAGAGGGACTCGTGGTTCAACGGAGAACCGGTCGATGGCTGGTCGGGCGTTGCGGAACTTTGTGAAGGGGAACATGCGCCGTGCGCTCGAGCTCGGGCAGCGGTTCGGCGTGAATATCACGCCGGTGCACTTCTATTCGGACATCCCGGATTTCCGGAAGCTGCGCGCGGACGACTCGTGGCGTCGGGCGTACACGTTCGAGGGTGTCCGCGGCGCCGACGTTGAGGCGCAGATGGCGTTCGTTCGCGGGGTGTGCGAGGCGTACGCGGGCGAGCTCGGCGAGAAGGGGATCCACGCGCGGGCGTGCGCGGAGAACGGCGAAGCGGGGTTCGGGCGGGGCGAGGCGGCGTTTCTCTACGCGTTCGTGCGCCGGCACCGCCCGGGGAAGATCGTGCAGATCGGGTGCGGGGTGTCGACCGCGGTGATCCTGATGGCGGCGGATGACGAGGCGGGGTACGAGCCGGAGATCGTGTGCGTCGAGCCGTACCCGACGGCGTACCTAGTCCGTCTCGCGGAGGAGGGGCGGGTGCGGCTGGTGCGCGAGCGGGCGCAGGACGCGGCGCCGGGGACGTTCACGGATCTGGGCGCGGGGGACCTGTTCTTCGTGGATTCGTCGCACACGCTCGTGCCGGGGAGCGAGGTGAACATGGTGATCCTGGAGGTGCTTCCGCGTCTGGCGGCGGGCGTGTGGGCGCACTTCCACGACATCCAGTTCCCGTTCAACTACCGGCCGACGCTGATGAGCACGGACCTGTTCTTTTACAGGGAAGAACTGCTGCTGCACGCGTTCCTCGTGGGGAACGAGCGGTGCGAGCTCGCGTGCTCGCTGTCGTGGCTGCACAACGAGCGGTCCGCGGAGCTCGCGTCGGCGTTGGTGGATTATTCGCCGTGCGCGATGGACCGCGGGCTGAAGGCGGGCGAGGGGGACTTCGCGGCCTCGGCGTATCTGCGGGTGACGGGCTGACTGGAGTTACTTGCCGAGGCCGACGAGCTCGGCGTTGGTCTCGAAGCGTTTGAGGGCGCCGAGGAGCTGCTCGACCTGCTGGGGGGGCGGCATGTTGAGGAGGCGTCGGCGGAGGGCGGTGATGGTGCTCAGTTCCTGCTCGGAGAGGAGCAGGTTTTCCTTGCGCGTGCCGGAGGCGGCGAGGTTGATGGCGGGGAACATGCGGCGCTCGGCGATGGAGCGGTCGAGGACGAGCTCCATGTTGCCGGTGCCCTTGAACTCTTCGAAGATGACGGTGTCGCCCTGCGAGCCGGTGTCGACGAGGCAGGAGGCGATGACGGTGAGGGAGCCGGCTTCCTCGGTGTTGCGCGCGGAGCCGAAGATCTGCTTGGGGACGGCGAGGGCCTTGGAGTCGACGCCGCCGGAGAGGGTGCGTCCGGAGTTGGCGTGCTTGCGTGAGTTGTTGAAGGCGCGGCCGAGGCGGGTGAGGGAGTCGAGGAGGATGACGACGTCCTTGCCAGCTTCGACCATACGCCTCGCGCGTTCGGTGACGGTCATGGCGACCTGGATGTGTCGGTCGATGTCGTGGTCGTTGGAGGAGGCGAAGACGCGCGCGTTGACGGAGCGTCGGAAGTCGGTGACCTCCTCGGGGCGCTCGTCGATGAGCATGACGAAGACTTCGAGGTCCGGGTGGTTCTGGGCGAGGGCGCCGGCGATGTCCTTGAGGAGGATGGTCTTGCCGGCTTTGGGCGGCGCGACGATGAGGCCGCGTTGGCCCTTGCCGATGGGGCAGAAGAGGTCGATGAGCCTGCAGGAGGCGGGGCAGCCGGGGTACTCGAGGGTGAGGCGCGGCTGGGGGTCGATGGAGGAGAGCTCTTCGAATTTTTTGCGTTTGGCGTACTCGTCGGGGGCCATGCCCTCGATGGCGAGGACCTCGGCGACGACGGGCCTTGGGTTGCGAGGGGCCTGGCGGCCGGACTTGGTGCGTCTTCGGCGAGGCTTGCGTTCGACGACCTCGACGGTGATTTCCTGTCCGTCGCGGAGTGGGTAGTCGGCGCCGAGCTGGACGGGGACGAACGGATCGTCCGCGCCTTCGGTGAGCGCTTCGTCGAACTGGCGTACCCGGCCCTCGGAGCGCTCGGGCCAGTGGAGAATCCCTGTCAGCGTAGTCATAGATGTTCGGTCTTTTCGGTATCCCCGCGCGCGATAACTCGCGTTCCGTACGTGCCACTGCGCTTCGGGTGGACCCCCCCTCGGGTCAGGTGTATTGGAGCATCGACGGGAGTCGGAGTCAAGGAGGAAATCGGCGATTGGTTGATCTGCACGCCGGGCGGGGTGGGCTTAGGATAGGCGGCGCGTCTGCCCACGCCACGCGCCCATCGGAACTATCGGTCGTGCGTGCACGTGTTCTCACAGGAAACCGCTCCCGCGATGGAGAAGCTGACAGGCATCCCGGTCTCGCCAGGCATCGCCATCGGGCGTGTGTTCGTGGTGGACGACCCGTCGTTCCGGATCCCGCGCCGTTCGATTTCTGAGGGGGCGGTGGCGGGGGAGCGGGCGCGTCTGAAGGACGCGCTGGAGAAGTCGATCGCGGACGTCGAGTCGCTGCGTCGTGAGGCGGCGGACGAGATGGGGACGGACGCTGCGGAGATCTTCGCTTTTCACAGGGGGATGCTGACGGACCCGACGCTGACGAAGCCGATGTTCGCGCGCGTGGAGACGGACCTGGTGACCGCGGAGTACGCGGTGCAGGAGAAGTTCCGCGAGGTCGCGGAGATGTTCATGCGGATGAACGAGACGGTCCGCACGAAGGTCGACGACGTGTGGGACATCGAGCGTCGGGTGATCAGCCACCTGGTGGGTCAGCACACGAGCGAGTTGGAGGCGGTGACGGACGAGACGGTGGTGCTCGCGGCGGACCTGACGCCGAGCCAGGCGGCGGGTTTCCGTGGGACGCCGGTGATCGCGTTCGCGACGGACCTGGGTGGGCCGACGAGCCACACGGCGATTTTCGCGCGGGCGCTGAACATCCCGGCGGTGGTGGGTGCGGGTCGGATCACGGAGCTGGCTGAGGACGGGGACACGGTGATCGTGGACGGGTCGCGTGGTCACATCGTGGTGCGTCCGGACGGGGCGACGATCGAGGCGTACCGGGCGAAGCAGGAGCACGCGCTGGGGTGGCGGAAGCGTCTGAGCGAGATCCGGGAGCTGGAGTCGGTGACGACGGACGGCGCCCGTGTGAAGCTGATGGGGAACATCGAGTTCGCGGACGAGGTGACGACGATCCGGGAGATGGGCGGGGACGGTGTGGGGCTGTTCCGGACGGAGTTTCTGTGGCTGACGTCGGACCACGAGCCGACGGAGGAGGAGCAGTACGAGCAGTACCGCGAGAGCGTGGAGCTGGCGGGCGGGGCGCCGATCACGATCCGGACGTACGACCTGGGCGCGGACAAGTACACGCAGGAGCGGGCGATGAACCCGGAGCGGAACCCGTTCCTTGGGTTGCGGTCGATCCGGTACTGCCTGCAGAACCTGGGGATGTTCAAGCGTCACCTGCGGGCGATCCTGCGGGCGTCGGCGCACGGGAAGGTGCGGCTGATGTTCCCGCTGCTGACGAACCTGCGGGAATTGCGCCAGGCGAAGATGATCCTGAGCGACGTGATGAGCGAGATGCGTGCGGAGGGGGTGGGGTACGACGAGGGGATCGAGGTTGGGATGATGGTGGAATCGCCCTCGGCGGCGGTGATGGCCCATTTCTTCTCGAAAGAGGTTGATTTCTTCTCGATCGGGACGAACGACCTGGTGCAGTACACGCTGGCGGTGGACCGGACGAACGAGCGGGTGGCGAGTTTGTACGATCCGGCCCATCCGGCCGTTCTGAAGCTGATTAAGGACGTGATCCGGGCGGCGAGGCGGGCGGATATCGACGTCTCGTTGTGCGGAGAGATCGCCGGCGATCCTTTGTATACAATGCTTTTGCTGGGATTGGGTCTGCGGACCCTCTCGGCGACGCCCGGACAGATTCCCACGCTCAAGCACGTGGTCCGGAACGTCGATATGGGACATTGTGAGCGGCTGGCCCGAACGGCCTGCTCGTTCGATTCCGAGCGTCAAGTGGCGAGTTATCTCCGCAAGGCGCTCAAAGAGACAGTGCCCGAGATCATCAGCGGTCGTTCCGCGGATGACGCGTCCAACGGCAAGTCCTGAGGGCGGGCTCGGGTCGAACGACAATAAGGCGAAGGCTCGGCGCACCCGCCGAACCGTAGCGAGCGAGACACCGCCGCCACCGAAGCCCCCCGGCAAACGCTGAATTCAGGTTTCCGAGGGTGTGGAAAACGGCGAGCGAGGCCATCAGGGGGGATGCGTCGCCTTCAATTCGGAGGCGGGCGCGCCCGTTGTGAGCGTCTTTTCGGAGGCGTTCGCGGCGGCCCGAGAGCCGCGGTCCAGCGCTGCATCGAACCGACGCCGCCACACACCAAGGGCGAGCTGCGCATGCGCGCCGGAACGTTCACGAGAAACCGGGTCACGAAGGATCCCACCGCGGGGGCGCTTGCGCCGATGCGGGGGGCGATCGTGTGCCCGGGTCTTCCGTGGCGGGCCGGTCGCGTCGCGAGCGATCGAACAGAAAGACGCACATGTCAAAGACACAGATGATCGTGAACTACGATCCGGGCGAGGAGTGCCGCGTGGCCGTTGTTGAGGACGGCCGCCTCGAGGAGCTCCAGACGGAGCCGGCGGACCAGCTGAGCTTCGTGGGGAACATCTACAAGGGGAAGGTGATGAACGTGGAGCCGTCGATCCAGGCGGCGTTCATCGACTTCGGCTTCGAGACGAACGGGTTCCTGCACATCTCCGACCTTCACCCGCGGTACTTCCCGGGCGAGGACGAGGAGACGACGGAGCGGATCGGGAAGAAGACGCCGCGGAAGGAGCGTCCGCCGATCCAGGCGTGCCTGAAGCGTGGCCAGCAGATCACGGTGCAGGTGCTGAAGGAGGGGATCAACACGAAGGGCCCGACGCTGACGAGCTACCTCTCGATCCCGGGTCGGTACCTGGTGATGCTGCCGGACATGGACAAGGTGGGTGTGTCTCGGAAGGTGGAGGACGAGGACGCGCGTCGCGAGATGCGGAAGGTGCTCGACACGCTCGAGCTGCCGGAGGGCTTCGGCTACATCCTGCGGACGGCGGGGATGGGGCGGACCAAGACGGACCTGAAGCGGGACGTGGCGTACCTGCAGCGCCTGTGGAAGGACATCGAGAACCGGCAGAAGCGTCTGCGTGGCCCTGGCGTGCTGTACGCGGAGAGCGATCTGCTGATGCGTTCGCTGCGGGACGTGTGGACGAGCGACGTGAGCGAGATCGTGATCGACAACGAGGGGGCTCTTCAGCGGGCGAGCCGTTTCATGAAGATCGTGGCGCCGCGTTCGAACACGAAGCTGCTGCACTTCAACCGCGGGGAGCCGATCTTCCACGCGTACGACATCGAGGAGCAGATCGCGCGGATCCACTCGCGCGAGGTGCCGCTGCCGTCCGGCGGGTCGCTGGTGATCGACGAGACGGAGGCGATGATCGCGATCGACGTGAACTCCGGGAAGATGCGTTCGAACAAGGACGCGGAGACGACGGCGTACAAGACGAACTGCGAGGCGGTGGACGAGATCTGCCGGCAGCTGCGTCTGCGTGACATCGGCGGGCTCGTGCTGTGCGACTTGATCGATATGATCCACCGGTCCAACCGGCGGCAGATCGAGACGCGTTTCCGGGACCGTCTGAAGCGCGACCGCGCGGCGACGCGGGCGCTGCCGATCAGCCAGTTCGGCATCGTGGAGATGACGCGCCAGCGTGTGCGCGGGTCGATGCAGAGCACGCACTACACGAGCTGCCCGACGTGCACGGGGCGGGGCATGGTGCAGAAGCCGGGCCCGGTCGCGACGTGGGCGCTGCGCGAGCTGAGCGCGCTGCTCCAGCACAACAAGGTCGGGAAGATCGAGATGGTGGTGGCGCCGCGTGTGGCGGGCGAGTTCCTCTCGCGCCGACGCCGGCAGCTCACGCACCTGGAATCGATCACGGGCAAGGACATCGCGGTGCGCATCAGCGACGACATCGCGGCGGACCGGGTGATCTTCTACGCGTACGACGAGAAGGGCTCGGACATCAACATCGAGAAGCTCGAGCACCCGAAGCCGCCGCGGAACCTCAAGGTGTGGGAGTACGACCCCAAGCGGGACGAGGAGTTCCCGATGGACGCGCTGGCGGGCGTTCCGTACGAGGAGATCGACGAGGAGGAGGACGGCGAGGCGGAGGCCTCGTCGGGCGGCTCTTCCGAGAGCGGCGACGGCGCTGGGACGGGCAAGAAGCGCCGCCGGCGTCGCCGGGGCGGCCGCGGCCGCCGGCGCGGGGACGGCGCCGAGGGCGAGGGCGGCTCGGGGCGCGACGCGTCGGGCGAGTCCGCGTCCGAGGAGCCGAAGGCTGATGAGGCGCGTGATGAGCCGAAGCGTGAGTCCGACGAGGGCGGCGAGGAGCGTTCGGGTCGGCGTCGCCGGCGTCGGGGCGGTCGTCGGCGTCGCGGGTCGGGGGACCGCGAGGGCGCGCCGTCGGGCGAGGCGTCGAGCGACGGGACGGCCTCTCCGAAGGGCGAGGTCGATCACGAGGCGGACGTCGAGTTCGAGGCGAAGCCGCTGGACGACCTGATGGGTCGTGAGGACTCGTGGGACCTGACGCCGGAGGAGATCGAGGAGATCAACAAGCTTCGAAAGACGCCGATCAAGGCGTCGGCCGCGGGCAAGCCCACCGCTGCGCCCGAGCCCGAGCCCGAGCCGGAATCCGAAACGGAGGAGGAGCCGGAGGCCGTCGTCGAGCCGGAGGCGGAGACGCCCGAGGAGGACGCGGTCGCGGACGAGGCCCCCGCGGACGAAGCCCCCGCGGATCAAGAGGTTGTCTCGGACGAGGCGCCGAAGCCGGCTGCGAAGAAGAAGACGCGGAAGCGTCCTTCGCGGAAGAAGAAGGCGACGGCGTCGAAGGGCGAGGAGGGCGGCGACGGCGATGCCGCGTCGTCCGAGGAGCCGAAGCCGGTGACGAAGAAGAAGACGACGCGGAAGAAGTCGACCCGCAAGAAGAGCACGGCGAAGGCGACGGAGAAGTCGTCCGAGGAGAAGGGGTCTTCACCGAAGCCGACGAAGAAGAAAAAGACGGCGCGGCGGACTCGGAAGAAGGCTTCCGAGACGTCGGACGGCGGCGGCGGATCGAAGACGAAGGCGCCGTCGAAGGACGTTCCGGCGCACGAGATCAAGCCGAAGGCGGAGGTGCGTCCGCTGTACGGTTCGCGCCGGAAGCTGGCGGACTACGATGCGCCGGCGTCCAAGGGCGACGAGTGATCCGGGAGGCACGGACGGATGATTGACAACGCGCTGAATCTCCTGCTGATCGTGGTCGGGTTCGGTCTGGTGATCGTGGTGCACGAGCTGGGCCACTTCCTGGCGGCGCGGTGGGCGGGGATCCGCGTGCACGCGTTCGCGGTGGGGTTCGGTCAGGCGGTGTGCTCGTACCGGAAGGGGATGGGTTTCCGGATGGGCTCGACGGAGCCGGAGTACGTGCGGCGCTTGAAGAAGCTGGGCGAGCGTCCCGATCGGGGCGATCTTCCGAACGTGAGCGCGACGGAGTACCGGCTGAACTGGATCCCGTTCGGCGGGTACGTGAAGATGCTGGGCCAGGAGGACATGGACCCGGCGGCGCGGAGCGACGCGCCGGACGCGTACAACAACAAATCGGTCGGCAAGCGGCTGGTGGTGATCAGCGCGGGGGTGGTGATGAACGTGCTGCTCGCGGCGGTGCTGTTCGTGATCGTGTTCCTCGCGGGGATGAGCACGCCGCCGGCGATCGTGGGGGACGTGCTTCCGGATGGCCCGGCGGCGAGCGCGGGGGTGCGGCCGGGCGACGTGATCCGGACGATCAACGGGCGCGAGGTGGACCAGTTCGCGGAGCTGGCGATGATCGCGGCGATGACGCCTCGCGGCAGCGCGGTGGAGCTGACGGTGGAGCGTCCGGGTGTCGCGGGCGAGCTGGAGATCTCGATCGAGCCGGCTCGTGACCGCGATTCGAAGCTGATGCAGCTGGGCGTGTACTCGGCGTTTTCGAACGAGATCTGGGCGGAGGACAGCGGGGGCACGGTGCGTGCTGTGCTGGATTCGCTGGGTCTCGGCGCGGTCGAGCTCGGGGCGACGCTCGAGTCGGTCGGCGGCGAGGCGGTGGAGCCGGTGGACGTGACGGGGTACGCGCAGGTGCGCACGGCGGACGCGTTGCGAACGGCGATCGAGTCGAGCGGTGGCGGGGGCGTGTCTCTGCGATTCGAGAACCCGGACGGGCGCGTGGTGGACGCGACGATCGAGCCGGAGCCGTCGTACCAGACGGCGAGCGTGCCGCTGGGCGAGAACACGGTGTACGACATCGACCACCTGCTGGGCCTGGCGCCGGCGATGGGGGTTCGTTCGACGGCGGAGCGTGGCGAGGCGGCGGGTCTGCGCACGGGCGACGTGTTCGTGCGCGTGGGGAACGCGGTGTGGCCGAACCTGGCGGAGGGGATCGCGCAGATCCGGGCGCACGCGGGTCGGGAGATCGAGCTGACGGTCATGAGAGACGGCGCGGCGGTGAAGCTGACCGCGCCGGTGGACTCCCAGGGGACGGTGGGGTTCATCCCGGAGGAGCGGTTCGGTGACAACCGCGTCGCGTCGCTGCCGGAGATGGGTGCGTCGGGGGATGCGCTGGCGGCGTCGAGGCTCTCGCCCGCGCCGATCCCGGGGTCGCGTCTGATCGGGGTGTACGACAAGTCCAAGCCGTTCGAGTACGGCGACGTTCGGACGGCGACGTTCGCGGACGTGCGGCGTGAACTGCGGAACGAGACGGCGGCGGCGATCGCGAGCGGCGAGAGCGCGACGCTCATGCTCGTGTTCGAGGTGGAGGCTGCCGGGGGTGGCGAGCCGGCGATCGAAACGGTGGAGCTGACGCTCTCGCCGGGGGAGATCGCGTCGGTGCAGGGGCTGGGGTGGGACGCGTCGCGTCACCTCGCGGTGTTCCGGACCGCCACGTACCTGCGGCAGGCGCAGAACCCCGCGGAGGCGGTGGTGATGGGCGTCGCGGCGACGCGGGACATGCTCGTGCGGACGTACATCACGTTCCTGCGTCTGTTCGACGGGACGGTGCGCGTGGAGCACCTGCGCGGGCCGGTGGGCATCGCGGACGTTGGCGTGCAGTTCGCGAGCCAGGGGATCGTGTACCTGCTGTACTTCCTGGCGCTGATCAGCGCGAACCTGGCGGTGATCAACTTCCTGCCGGTTCCGTTCGTGGACGGCGGGCACGCGGTGTTCCTGGTGATCGAGGGGATCATGCGGAAGCCGGTTCCGGTGGTGATCCAGAATTACGCGACGCTCGCGGGGCTCTTCGCGATCATGGCGGTGTTCCTGATCGTGACGTTCAACGACATCACGCGGCTGTTCGGCTAAGCTCGCGCCGTGCTCGGATTGCTCGGCCTGCTCGCGCTCGGACTGTTGCTCGCGGTGGCGCTCGCGTCGTGGCACATCGCGCACATGATCAGCCATCCGCCGCGACGGACGGACGCGTGGGCGGTGTCGCGGGGGGTGGCGAGCGAGCCGGGTGAGCTGGACCACCCGCTGGGGTGCAGGCCGTTTTCGCTCTCGCTGGAATTGAAGGGGCGTGTGCGGGAGTACCCGGCGTGGGAGGTGGAGGGTGAGGACCCGGGGGGGCCGGTGGTGATCATGACGCCGGGGTGGGGGAGCTCGCGGATCGGGATGCTGATCCGGATGGCGCCGTTCGGGGGCGTGGCGTCGAAGATCATCGCGTGGGACCCGCCGGGGCACGGGGAGGCGCCGGGGCGGTGGACGATGGGCGTTCACGAGCCGGCGATGCTGCTGGCGATCGCGGACGAGATGCGCGCGGCGTACGGGAAGAGGTGCGTGCTGTTCGGGTCGTCCGCTGGTGGCGGGGTGAGCGTGGTGGCGGCGGCGATGGACGCGGAGAGACCGGAGGATGAGCGGTCGGTGTGCGGGGTGATCGCGGAGGCGCCGTATCGGTTCGCGCCGGAGCCCGCGGAGAAGGTGACGAAGAGGGCGGGGTACCCGTGGGCGGTCAACGGGCCGCTGGCGTTCGCGTGGATGGGGCTGGTCGAGGGCGTGGGCGTGCGGTGGCGGGGTTTTGACCGCGCGGCGCACGCGTCACGTGTTGATGTGCCGGTGCTGGTGATTCACGGTGACGCGGACGACACGTGCGACGTGGAGGACGGGCGGGAGATCGCTCGTCGGGCGGGTGGGGAGATCGTGGTTGTGGAGGGCGGGGGGCACAATGATCTGTGGGTGAACGGGGTGTATCGGGGGGTTTGCGAGGGGGCGGTGGAGGGGTTCCTTTTGAAAATGGCCAGATAGCAAATGGCCAAATGGCCAAATGGGGGAGGAGCGCGGCTTCTTTGAACCCCTCCCAGAGGGAGGGGCAGGGGAGGGTTGCGAATTCGCCGGAGTTCCTGGGCTTGTTGCTGTGGAGGATGTTCGCTGCGCTCACATTGAGATGAGCGCGACCGCCCTTCGGGCGTTCGCTTGAACCCACCCCAACCCCTCCCTCGGGGAGGGGCTTTCAGAACAGTCGCATCGCTGAGGAGTGGGTGAGAGCAGAGGTGAATAGGGTGCGGGAGATTGTCTCGTGGGTGTTAAATGAACAGGGCGGCCCGGGGATGGGCCGCCCTGCGTCAATTCAAAGCCAGGAGCTTGAATCAGCGGCGACGACGGGTCGCGGCGAGGCCGAGGAGGCCGAAGCCCGCCACGGCGCCCGGAGCCGGGACAACGTTGAAACCGACGAAGACCGTCACGGCGCCGCCGCCGGTCGGGTCGAAGATGAGGGCGTCGCTGGCGTTCCAGTCGCCGGAGACGGAGGAGGCGGTCTCGACCTCGTTGAAGCCGATGTTGGTCGCCTGGTCCATGCCGAGGATGGTCATGGAGCCGGGGATGACGTCGGGGCTGATGCCCGCGATGCCGACGGAGGAGATCTCACCGGCGAAGTCCGCGTACGCGAAGTTGGTGAAATCGAAGGCGAGGGCGACGTCGAGGCCGGGGATGGCGACCGTGGTGACGTCGTAGCTGAAGCCGAACGAGTCGGAGAACGTGGCGAAGGTGCCCAGTGTGTAGGCGCCGCCGACGAGCTCACCGAAGGGGCCGGTGTTCGAAATCTCGACCGTCGAGACGGACGTGCCGGCGGAAGCGGCAGCGGTCATCGCCAGGACGGCGGTTGTCGCAAGGACCTTTTTCATAACGTGTTCTCTCCTAAAGACGTGTTTCGCGAAACTTCCACAGAACAAACACTCCGTGACGCGAAGGTCTGACTCCTCGTGTCGCGGGAATGCACACATTGGGCCCCGCCGGAAAAACGGGCCCGCCCGGAAAGAACAAGTTGTCTGGGAGAACCGGCCTTGTGTGCTGCTGACGAGGCAGCGAGCCGGAACGTCCCTCCTGATGGCAAGAGGGGTGCGCCTATCTGGGGCGCGGCCCCACGTGTTTCACTTCAAAAGGTACACGAAAGTCGGGACAGGTCATCATGAATATGGGGGATGAGCCCAAAAAAGTTCGCCCGTCAGGGGATAATTTGGCCACGCGGGGCTTCTCTGCCCTGCCCAGACTCACACGGGTTCCGCGGGCTAAGGTGTGTGGCGCGGGCCGCTGGGGCCCCGCGAGGCGGTCCCCGGGGCGGGGGACGGGGCGGAGACGCATGCCAGGACGCGTGAAGCAGGTTCTTCTCGGTCTCGAGTGTTTCGGGCTCTACGTGGTCTTCCCGTGGTGGATCGATATCCGGGAGCACCCGCGCGTCCTGATCCCGTTCCTGATGGCGGTGGCGGTGACCTGCTTCGCCGTCCTGTTCTTCGACAAGCGGTTCGACCGGACGTGCCTGTGGAACTTCCCGGCGTTCAGGAAGCACCTGCCGCGGATCTTGGTGACGTGGGCGCTCGGTGTGGTCGTGATGATCGGGTTCACGTGGTGGATCAGCCGTCAGCCGTGGGTTCGGGAGAACGTGGGTCTGTTTGGCTTTGTGGAGCGGGCGCCCGTCGTGTGGGCGGTGATCATGTTCGCGTACCCGCTGTTCAGCGTGTACCCGCAGGAGATCATCCTGCGGACGTTCTTCTTCCACCGGTACAAGCGTCTGTTCCCGAAGGCGTGGCTGATGATCGTGGCGAACGGGCTCGTCTTCGCGTGGGTGCACGTCATCTTCCAGAACTGGGTGGCGGTGGCGCTGTGCGTGCCGAGCGGGATGCTGTTCGCGTACACGTACTGGCGGAGCAAGTCGACGATCACGTCTGGTTTCGAGCACGCGCTGTTCGGGAACGCGATGTGGACGGTTGGGTTGGGGGCGTTCTTTTATGGGGGGGCGGTTGTTTGAAGAAGGCACCAGGCATCAGGCATCAGGCATCAGGGGAGGAGCGCGGCTTTGCCGCGGTTGTGTTGGCCCCTCATCCGGCCGGCTGCGCCGGCCACCTTCTCCCGCGAGGGGAGAAGGGGCTGGATTTTGAGACGGTGATGGGTGAGACGGTGATGGGTGAGACGGTGACGGGGTGAACTGTGATGAGTTGGGGGCGTAAGGGTGGGGATGGGTCGGTCTCGGATTGGCGCTTTGGATCGGGTGATGATGGTGTTCTATGGGGTGTGGTCGGTGTGCGGGCTTTTGCCGTGGGTGGCGATGGGGCACGCGTCGGTGTTCTCGGAGTACCGGAGTGTTGGCGGGGCGGTCGCGTCGGTGTTCGCGCTCGGTGCGTTCGGCTGGAACTTCGCGTGCGCGTTCCGGCTTCGGTTCCGCGAGGGGTGGTGCCCCCGTTCGATCGATCGGGCGGTGATGATGGGCATCGGGTGCGTGTTCCTGCTGCCGATCACGCGGCTGATGCTGCCCTGGGAGGAGCCGGGGACGGGGATGGGTTCGCCGCTCGCTGTGGTGATGGGTGTCTTTCTGGGTCTCGTCGCTGGCGGTGGGGCGGCGCTGCTCAGCGGGTTGATCGGGCTGGTGTGGCTCCGCGGGTACCGGGCGCGGGCCGCGGGCGCGTGTGGCGGGGTTTCGCTAGACTGTCCGGCCCGACGCGATACGGTGTCGGGGCCCCTTTGAGCCCTTTTTCCCGAGAGGAACCGCGAGATGAGCGCTACCGCTGAGGCGATCGAACTGTCGAACTTCACCCACCTGCCGGCGGACTCGAACCAGGCGCTGGGGATCGCGGAGTACGCGATCGCGTTCTGCTCGGGCAAACTCGGGGACCCGGACGCGTCGGTGCTCAAGCGGACGGAACTGTTCCACACGGACTCGATCTTCACGGCGATCAGCGCGCTGGCGCTGGGGTGCAACGCGCCGACGGTGCTGCGCGATGAGGCGCTGGAGTACGAGGTCGCCGACGCGTCCAAGGGCGCGACGGTGATCGGGTCGACGAAGCGGGTGTGGGCGGAGAAGGCGATCGTCGCGAACTCCAACGCGGCACGCGAGTGGGACTCGAACGGGACGAACTTCGGGTACAACCCCGCGCTGGGTCACACGGCCGGCGAGTTCGGGCACAACGATTTCTACCCGGTCGTCATCGCGGCGTGCCAGCAGAAGGGGCTCGACGGCGCGGTGGCGCTGCGGGCGATGCTCTGCCTTGATGAGATCCGCGGGCGACTGGCGGAGGTGTTCAGCCTCAAGACGTACAAGATCGACCACGTGGTGCACGGGGCGATCGCTTCGGCGGCGGTGTACGGGGCGCTGATGGGGGCGACGGCGGCGCAGATCGAGAGCGCGATCGGGATGACGGTGGCGCACTACATCCCGTGGCGCGCGATCCGCGCGGGCAAGCAGCTCTCGGACTCGAAGGGGGCTTCGGCGGGTCTGTCCACGGAGGTGGCGATCATGTCGATGAAGCGCGCGATGAAGGGGTTCCTCGGCCCGCGGGATATCTTCCGCAACCCGGAGGCGATCTTCCGCTTCTTCGAGCCGACGACGGAGGGCAAGGACCGCTGGACGGAGATGGCGCCCTCGCCGTTCGATCTGTACCTCGCGCACTCGGGCGAGGACTTCGCGATCATGGGGATGCACTTCAAGCTGGGGCTCTACGAGCACCAGTCGGCGGGGGCGATCCAGGGGGTGATCGACCTCCTGCAGAAGAACCCCGGTGTGACGCCTGACGACATCGAGAAGATCACCATCGTGGCGTACGAGCCGGCGTACGGGATCATCGGCAACCCCGCGAAGATGGACCCGAAGACGCGCCAGAGCGCGGACCACTCGATGGCGTACATCATCTCGACGCTCATCCGCAAGGCGGGCGAGCTCGGGACGGAGGCGGCGGACGGGATCGCGGGGAACAACGAGCTGTGGAAGCGGCTCATGCTCAACCCGCACGACTACAAGGAAGACGAGTCGGCCGTCTTCAACGAGAAGACTCGCGCGATCATGAAGACGATCACGTTCGAGCACGGCGGCGAGGAATACGACGCGAAGTACCCGGACGGGATCCCGACGTCGCTCGTGATCACGACGAAGGACGGGAAGACGCTGGACTCGGGCTTCGTGATGTACCCGGCGGGTCACGCTCGGAACACCGAGAACGACCTGGAGGGGATACTGGATCACAAGTTCAAGCTGTTCGCAGGGCTGGCGGTGAAGGATGTTGAGGCGGCGCTGACGCGGGTGAGCGGGTTGGCGGAGAAGTCTGCGGCGGAGATCGCTGATCTTTTGAGCTTTGATGTTGTGGTTGTGGGTGGGTTCAGCTGATTAGTCGGGCCAGTCTGGGTATTCGTCGTAGAGGGCCAGGTAAATATTCGAGTGTAGGCCTCTGATCAGTGTTATTCCGCTTGAGCAAGGCTCGAAAGGCCCTTCGTAGCCGTTGCCGAAATCGTCCCAGTAGTGGAAGCCGTCGCGCATTTCGCGAGTACGCGGGTCGATGACGCCGCTGGGAACGGTATGAAAGCAATGCTTTGAGAACTTGCAGTTCTCAAAGGTAGTCTCGTCCATGCGACCCTCAAGCGATACATAGCCCAAGGTCCATGGACCCCATTCGATCACGAATGGGTCGCACAGCAGATCGGTCTTGACGTCGAAGCCATCGATCGGATTGATGCCCGGTTTGAAAACATAGATGAGTGGGAACAACTCTTCCGGCCACGCGAAGAAATTCTCGGCATCGACGATGAGGATGTAGACCTCGCGTTGGTCTTGGAGGATGAGCTTGTAGACCTCGCGGGTCTGGCGTTTGAGTTTGCGCTTGGCGTGTTTGATGAAGATGTATTGGGATTTGTCCCACATGGTGGGGTGAGTGTAGTGGGGCGTGATGGGCGCGTGTTGGGTGGGTGGCCGTGTGGTTTCGGGTGGGGGGGCTTGTTGGTCCCCTCACTGGCGTTCGGGGTTGCCATTGTGTGGCGGGGGTGCCCGG